TAAGATGGTATGGTAAATAATGAATTAAATGGAGTTTAATGGCACGTCAGCTCCAGCCGGGCTATATTGCGCCAAACACATGATGAATTTAATGAGACAAATAAAGGAAATATCACGAAGTTGTAATTATATATGTAAATAAAAACAAATATCACAGACAATAAAATTAGAAATAAATATATCACTTTACATATGTATTACAATACATATGTTAAAATATATACAGTTAAAATTTTTAGTAAAAGTTTGTCTCTTTTAAAAACTTTAACTTTTTATTATATAGTTCCGGTTGAGAAAATAATTGACGTAGATTACGCCCATCTTCAACAATAAGTTCATCTGATAAACTAAAATATGGAATGAATGAAATGTTGTTCAATGGCACGTCAGCTTCAAACATGGTGAATTTAATGAGATAAAAAACAATATCACGGAGATGTACTTACATATATAATTTTAAAAACAAATATCACAGAAAATATAATTAAAAATAAATATATCAAATCCTTTACATATGTAAATATTTAAAATTTAATACATGATAAAATATATACAATTAAAATTTTGAATAAAAGTTTTCTCTTTTAAAAAATCTAGCCCTTTACAGATTAGCTCCGGTTGGGCAAACAACTGATGCAGTTACTGGCAACGGTAATAATTTGATCTTATATCCTTAAGATGCTTGCACTCGATCAGAATGTGCATAACTATCAAAGAAACATGGCAGTGTTCACATTCTGGTTGAGTCGCCACGCTTCAAGATGAAAATGAGGGTTAAAAGAGTATGACCTATGCGAGAGCGACACAAAATAACCTCATCTCTCCTGTTAGTTCTATAGGAGCTTTACGTGATGAATATGTTTGTGCCTTCAAGATTCCATGACCAGCGACATTATGTTATTATGTTTAATTCAATCTGATTAAAACACAGATCCAACTTCATTGGTGCTTGATATATGCCTTAGATTAAATAACCATGCCTATACCTCAAAAGTTTATTTTTGTCTATCAAGACTACAATTTCTAATCAAATATAATGTCACCAGGAACTTTTACATATAATAAGAATAATTTATTGATTTTGAAAATTCAGCTTGTAAATCTGCTCTGTGGCGCTTGTATAAAATAATGATTGTAAGTACGCAATGTAAAACAAATCATCAAAAATTAAAATCAAACTATTAAAATAAGATAATAGGATTGAAAACAATAAAATAGCAGGGTACAGGTACGGATAAAATATCGATAGTCAATAAAAATTTTAATTAAACTATTTGGTAAAACAAATAAAATTGCAGGGTAAAGATGAAATATAAAACATTAAGATAATTGGTAAAAGAAATAATCATGTGATATATATTCCGACAAACTAGGGTTTGACACTTATTTTAACAAAATTAGCTCAGTTAATTAAGAGCAAATTTGTGTGTTCTCGAAATGATAAATATTCTATGTAGAGCAAATTGGTAAATAATACCTTGTACATCTATTGCTTTCCTGTTTCACTCATCTTCTAAAATAGCAAGTTACGGGGTAGAAATGAAATGAAATGTGGTTTTATGGCACGCCAGCTCCAACCGGGCTATATTACGAGACAGGCTAAACTATGTAACATAAAAATATTATATGCATAAATAAATAAAAACAATATCACAGTTAGTAAAATTAAAAATAAAATACAACATTTTATGCATATAAATATTAAATACAAAAATGAAATGATATATATACAATTAAAATTTATGATAAAATCCTGTCTCTTTTAAAAAGTCTAACACTTTACAATATAAACCCAGTTGGGCAAACATGTGATGTAATGACTGACAATGGTAAAAATTCTATCTAATATCCTTGAAATGCTTGCACTCAATCAAAATGTGCTTAACATTCTGGTTGAGGCTCTCGCTTTAAAATGAAAATATGAGTTAAACAATAGTATGACCAATGCGAGAGCGACACAAAACAACTTCATCCTTCCTGTTAGTTCTATGGGAGCTTGACCAGTCTCCTAAGAGAGGCTTAATGTGATGAAGTTTGTGTGTGTCTGCAAGATCCCAAGACCCTTGCCAGCGGTAATATATAAAAAAAAGTTAATGGACGATTTAAAATCGGTGAAAGGTAAAAGAAATTGTGATATGGGAATATCTAAAGCAGACTTGGCAGCTTAGTCCGCTTGATCATTCCCTTTAATATCAACATGACTGGGGAGCCAGCAAAGGACGGTGTCCTTGCCGTTAAACTCGTGTGATAGTAGCAGACGATAAATGTCTGCTACTAAAGGGTGCACAAACTGCTTATTATTTATAATGTAAATAAAATGTGTTTTAAAGATAAAGATTTAATGAACTCCAAAGCCCGAAAGTAGCCTGGAGTTCAGCAGTAAATATGGAAGCAGCAGAAATGGTGTCAGATGGCGTGACGGTAGCCGTAGCTACCCGATCGCCATCTTTGGAACCGTCTGTGTAAATAGGAGCATAATCACCATATTTAGACCTTAGCTCTAGAAATAGAGATTGAAACACCGTGGAACTAGTATCTCCCTTTTTATGTTGTGTAAGATTGAAATCAATCTTTGGGGGAGATACAGCCCACGGTGGAGTCCTAAAGCAAGGGGTATTCGCAATACTGCCTTGACTGATTCTCCATTGTCAAAATATTAGCTATGGTATAAGTTAAAGTCTGAAACGCAAATTAAAATTGTTGATGAAAATTTTGACAATAACAAGACAGGGGGTCTAAAGACAAAGAATGGAGAAATATGATGGCTAGAACAATAGCGTTATCTTTCATATTATTGAAATGAAATGAAATGGGGTTTAACGTCCTACTCCTATACTGTTCATATTATTGATTCTAAACTTCATAATCACAAATATAGAAAGTATATGCTGGTTATTGTGATACGTTAACTTAGCTATAGATTTATGAGCATGTTGGTCATATTCATTTTACTTTGTTATAAAACATATATCATATTTGAGACTAGGAAGAATTGTAACACTTCCAGTGTTGTAACTGTAGTTGTAACTTCGTCCCGGAAGAAAACACAGCGTGAAGATTGAATATTACAGATTGACCATCTGATAGTACTACAGGGCTTTCAGAAATTTCTTTTTCAGGGTTTTAATATGAGGGATAAATGATAATTTCTTATCAAATATCAAACCCAAGAATTTGGTTTCATCTACATCTGGAATGGGTATACCATCCAGCGTAAGTTTCGGATCAGGATGTAAACGTCTTCTGTGACAGAAGTGCATGCACACAGTCTTGGATTTCGAAAATCTAAATCCATTGTCAGTTGCCCATCGTTGAATAGAATTCAAGCAAAGCTGCAACTGACGTTCGATTGTCTGCATACTTGTCGATCCATAACGCATCTGAAAATCATCAACATAAAGAGAACCGTCGACCCCACGTTTAAGGCACGTTGGTATCGTATTAAGTTTTATTGCAAAGAGTGTGGGGAACCCCCATTTCCTGTGGAAATGGGTCAGAGAAAAAGAGCGTGGGAGACAATATATTTCTCTGCGGAACCCCCATTTCAATGGTCAGAGAAAATTGATCCCAAGCGTACCTTAAACGACCTATCTTCTAAGAAGTTTTTAATGAAGATAGGTAAGCGCCCCCACAGACCGTGGTTATGCAGGTCGCGCATGATACCATATTTTCATGTGGTATCATAAGCTCTCTCCAGATCGGTTACGGGGTAGGGGAATCCCTCTAAACACATGTACATACCACAAAGCCAGTATGTGATAGTAGCTAGTGCAGAGTTACGAATATTGATAAATGTGGGTTCACTGTGTTTTGGAGGTGTACCAATACAATGCAAATGGTATAAGGGGACATTTAAAACCACTGAGCATATCTTGAAATGAAATACTGACACAAAAAAATAGTTCAGATACCAAAGTTGCTATATTATGATAAAGCAGTGCAGGGGTAGGTCTATTTCAAAAGGGATACTCCTGAAACTGGGATACGGTACCCGACAAAACCACTGGATATATCTTCAAATAATAAAATGGATCCCAAAAACATTAACTTAGAGACCATATTATAATAAAACAGTGTAATTATGCCCATTTATAAATTTAGGGTAGGGGTACCTTCGACAATGGTACAAGGGGGCATTGGTCATCTGAAAACCATTTCATTATTGCAGGTGCTAGTTTAATTCCTTTACAACATTGACTACTTTATGGTTGTTTGAAGTTTTACCATTCAAATAACTGGTATTTGACATCAAAATTTGGGACTTTCATGTACTCACATTTTGGTAAACGCTTTGGATGTCATTCAGTACACCCAGCACTACCAGAAACCACAAAAAATCTTCTCTTGCAACATTTTGGGGGATGATCCTTTTTTCATAAATGGGCTGGTCTTAATATTTTTTAGGTTGTGTTCTATAGGGGCTAATCAGATTTGTTTCAAATATATATTTTCATTGGAATTCATAGCGCTTATTTACCTATATGTTTGGAAGTTATTTGTTTTTATTTAAATGCATAAGACCCGTCTTTATCTTCCCGTTTATTATTCTTAAACTTGTAATATAATTTAATCATAATTCATAAATCTGCATAAATCTGCACTGTTGATCGGTTACAGTATTTTGTAGTTTGGCTTTCTATTTTTGACCAGTTGAAAAAATATGCAATCATTATCAGAACTCGATTCCAATCTAATTTCTTAGATCATAAATGAGCTAGCGGCAAAATACAGAAACAAAAACATTTCTCGGAAAAAAAACAACTTTCAGTTTTTGGACATAATCAAAAAAGTAGAAATCTCAAATAGTAAAATTGTATTAGCTATGAAGATTTCTGTAAAAGGTACTCTACTTATTTAACCCACGTCTAATTGACTGACAGATCTTTAAGCATACCGTTTTTACAGGTGCACTACATTTTTTAACATAACTAAATATAACCCATATGTAAATCACCCCAACAGTCTCTATTGTATATAGCTTATTGTTATTATTCAGGTGCATTCAGGTCCCCGGGGAATCTTTTAATGCATTACACTCAATATGAATTATATTTTAGATAGTCAGTTAAAGGCAAGTTGTTGAAGTAAACAGTTCACACAAAAATACAGCGACATTTTAAACTTTACGACAATAGTAAGTATATTATTCTGGTATTACTTTGAACTGGGTAAATATTTAGTTGATAATAGCATATAATAATGTAAAAGGGGCTTCACGTAAAATGTAAAAAATAACATAGTATCACGTCTCGTTGGAAGAATTCACATTACTAACAGGTTGTTGACTGTACTCTTCAAATATTTTAGAGCAGCAGCACAAATTCATTTAAAAAGAGTAAATGTCTTGTATAAAAATAATTTTATGAGTAGTTTTAAACCTGAGATTGCAACATCTGATGTTATAGCCAATTGCATACGTTTATGAAATCATTGTTAGTATGTCATTACACACGTCTCCCTGTACACCGTCGTCTGTCTCTTAGGTTTTTTTTACATAGTATGTGGCATCAATACTTCCGATTAAAGCTGACTTATCTGATATCGGGTGAACAGATTAAACAGAATAATATTTTCAATATTAACTTCTAATAATTTTGATAATTGAATTGATGTAACAGTGACAGGCGTAGACTTTTAAAAACAATATGTCTGAATGGGATTGGCGTAACTTGACAGTTTAATTAGTATCTCTTTTCAACAAACATTTCACTTCGAATTATGGGCATTCAATAGTTACTACTAATTTTAAGCCAAAATGTGTTCGAAACAAACAATTATAATTTACATATTATTTAAAAAAAAATCAACATAACTCATTTGTAAAACAAACTAAATAGATATCTTTGTTTTAGTAATTTTCATACTAGCAATATATTTAATTTTTGAACAAGATACAGGAGGTGAAGTGTCATATTTCTTAATACTAGAAAATTGTTGAGCTAATTGAGTTACTACATAATGTTTAAGCGTTGAAGACAAACCGCTTATTTCGGCAGTTAAATTATTAAACATAACGCTAATATCAGCAGTAACCGCTGCCATAATTAGGATCGGAAAAAAGATTTACCTCTTAATAAAATGCTTCGATCTTCTAGTGGTCAGGACTTTAAAAACATTGGTCTGGTCATAACCCCTGGTTCGTCGCTCACGGCACCACTTATGAGTATGTGATATAATACATAAAGTCTTTTTGATTAGAAGATATTTCAATACTGGATAATATATTTACAAGCACGTGATCTCGGCAGACAATCCTGATGGGTTTACATGTTATATAAACAATTAAGCTGATAACTTGTAGGCACATAGAGGCTGATTGACAGCTGGGACTCTATAGTTGATTTAGAACAATGAAAGGCTAATGACTTAGTGTCTGTTTTTATAGCAAGCCGAGTAAATAGGCGTTGGTATCAGAACAATGAAAACTAATTATTAAGAATCACACATCTTACACTAGACAATAGATGTTAATACTTGTTAAGAATACTTGTTAAGCTTAAATCTTATATCATATACTTGTCTAAAGACAAACCGAGCAAATAAGTTTGAACAACCCATTATATCTTACATAACACTATAAACCTCAGAATGCCTCGTTCGGCATTTCTGTGCAAACGAGGCAAAAACGTGTCAAAATACCTCGTTTCTCTGGAGTTCCAAAATGTGTTTTTTTTTAAAATTGCCCTGTTTTTGGAACGAGGTATTTTGTTCAGAACGAGGCTGGGTAAAATTGCCTCGTTTACTAAACGAGGTATTTTATTTAAGATAATTATTAGCGGTATTTGCTGTCAACAAATAATGTTCGGACCATCATGTTACCAATTGCAGATCTACAAATTAGATTATTTATTTCGGACATGATATTGTTCATAGTTATGGCTTACTACACTGGAGTTCTATTATGTATAATAAACGCTTCCCGAGCGAAACATGCAGAACGGAGTGCCTGACAAGGACAGCTGCCTAGACGTTCGGATGGGACGAAAAACCGAGGTCCCGTGTACACATAGGCGTGCACGTAAAAGATCCCTTGGCAGTTGAAATTCGATATAAGAGTAGGCCGTAGCGCCGCTGCCCAGGCAAAATTTCCCTCATAGCACACTGTATGGCGTATGCCCGTCTTCAATTAGCCCAGGTTAGGTGCAGAGGCGTAGGACGTTAAACAACATTTCATTTCATTTCCAAAGCGAAACAAAACATAACAATGTCACGTGACAATATTACATATGGCGGATACAAGCGTTCTTTGATTACATGCTGTTTGGTTTGATAATTAAATAATAGGGCAATCTGTATTTATGGGAAAAGGAGAATGAATTTCCCCAAATCCAAAACTAGATGACTGGAATTTTACCCAGCCTCGTTCTGAACAAAATACCTCGTTCCAAAAACAGGGCAATTTAAAAAAAACACGTTTTGAGACTCCAGAGAAACGAGGTATTTTTTTTACCTCGTTACAACGAGGCAAAATCGGAGCAAAAATTTTGACATGTTTTTGCCTCGTTTGGACAGAAATGCCGAACGAGGCATTCTGAGGTTTATAATGCAACATTGTGATTTGACGCTCTACAAATCACTAAGAGTATAACAATTGCTTGTTGAAAAAGCGTTACTAATATGTTTTTTTCCAATGCAGCAAAACCTACTGGACTGTTGTACTTAACTTTTTTTTTTTTTTTAAATATATTCAAAAAGAATGCGTCTTTTACAGATTTCAATATAACCACAAATGGTTGATTGTTTTAATGCTAAGATAAGTATTAATGGTTTGTATTTGAAAATCAAATTATATAAGCGAAAAATAGTAAGATACATTATGTATATCTTAAAACACGCCCTTCTCAGTTACTACTTCGGCGAATATCATTTGATAATTTAGATGATCAGAATTAAACACCGTTTTGCTATGTTATAATTTTTTTATGATTCGGTGGGGGTATACTTAATTAGGGGATTGGATTGAAAGATTATAGCTACCATCTTATGGAGACATAATGTGTGGTGCATTTACGGTCTTATAAAGCTCTATTCTTACATAAAGAATTCTTGATTCGCACGGAATTGTTTTAGCCGTGATCATTTTAAGTCATGCTTATGCCAAGATCTGGGTAAGTGTTAATTTAACTAGATATCAGAAAAGTACCACGTTTTCATAAATGTACTCTTTAGATAAATTGTACAATATTTCTCAGTTCACTAGTTACAATAAAATCGTGCATTATAGCTATTTTTATTTATTTATCCCTGGTGCTTCAAATTCAATTTAGGGTGCCTCAACATATTTAAAAATATGTTTTAAAGCTTTAGGTCATTTTATTATATCTTCCTACCATAAATAATAGCCCGAATTTAGGTATACCAAAAGTTAAAGAAATATAAACAGTTTTTGAATCATTCAGATCTGACTGCCAAAATAGTCACCAACACACATGTCGTGTTTAGGCTAAAATCTAACCAGAAAAATATTGTCAATACATAATAAAATTTATATTCCATTAATCAATTCCATTCCGCCATTGGTTTGTCTTAAACTCGTCATTGGTGTTCATGGGCATCAGGGTCGAGATGGCAACGTTATATGTTTTATTCGTCTAATTTACTATAAAACACAATATTTGGTTAGCGACACGGGTTAACGGCATATTAATAGCTTTATTCACTGAGATGGTTCCTTTACTTATGATTTATTTTTCGAATTGCTTTTTGTATTTATTTACAGAGGTTAAAAATTCAAATGGACATATTTAGCACCTTCTTGTAAACCGTTGAAAGATTTAAAGTTTGGATTAAGGTTAAATGAATGTAGGTCAAACATGCCGTTTGACAGAGTGTGTATTAGGGTGTTAAAGATTAAAAGTTATTCCCTACAAGGTGGTTCTACGGTTCTTACCATGCAATTCAGCTGTGAAATAACACAATTTCTTTCATTATGTGTACAACAATAAAACTATTTCAATTTCAAGTTGTCTAATCCAGGTTGTTGTGAGGTATGCATCTTAGTGTTTTGACGACCTGAAAAATATACTTAATTTTATTTAATTTTATTTAAACTTTTTAGAATCTTAGGATGATTTAAACTAAGACCGGTTCCAGATTCAATAATACATATAGCAAGTATAACAAACCTTTAAACCTTGATACGTTCACTATTTCGGGCATTAAACTAATGGCTGATATTGTTTGTAGATAATACTAAGCCTAGGTTAACATCTTCAAAACATATCAATTTAATTCAAGCCTACTGTCCTAAACGCAGATATAGCACAATTATTAGATAATACGAATTAATTAAGTTAAGCATTCCCCAATCATGGGTGAGAGAAAATCAAACCAACTTGAATATAACAACAATGTCTTCCACCAACACGAGCCACGTGTTAGATGATGAATGAATTTGTGACACCGAATCAATTAAAATCTAAGTGTTGTTATGAAAAATGTCTCGGCTCTAAATTTGTAAAACTTATTTGTTTAAATTATTGGGAAAAGAATGGTTTCTTGTGTAATTTTCTTATCATATGGAAAACCATTTTTTGTATTTTTAAAAATCCTAAATGTATTGACTTAGATTATAAAATTTTACATAATATATTATGGTCAACGGAAAAGCTATTTAAGATAGGTAAAGTTAGTGACGAATATTGCCCGGTTTGTAAACCAATGCACGAAGATATTCAATATTTACTAGATGTCATTATTAAACAGTTTTTTAAACTTCTAATTAAGAATATAATGAAAATAAATATAAGTAGTAATGAATTAGGCACTGTAATTTTATTTGGTCTCCAGCGGTCAAGTAAAACTCCACCAATAGAGTTATGTAATATTATTATGTGTACAATACGATTAGCTATATATAATAGATAATACATCCTGCGTACACATCTACGAAAAGAATGAGAGTGCTAAAGATTTTATTTTAAAATTTAGTTAGCCTCCCGGGTTAAATGATGAGATAAGCATCGATTTTTAACTTTAAATAAAAGAAACAAAAAGTCTAATTTACTATAAAACACCATTCGGTTCGCGTCACGGGTTAACGGCATATTAATAACTTTATTCACTGCGATGGTTTCTTTACTTATGGTATATTTTTCGAATTAATTTACAACGGTTAAAAGTTTAATTGAAAAT